GGGAACCGATAGAGTGTGAAAGTGAGTTTTTTTTTTTTTTGGAATCAGCTAGTGAGCTGTAATCGAGCATCCTGAAGCTTGAATTGAAAGAAGATTTCATCTGTAATCCAACTTTCAGATTGCAATACAAAAAGGATTATTGTTCAATTTAAGGTATTTCTTTAGATTTTGTATGGAATAAAGCTTAAATTTGGGCTTGAAGGAACAACCCAACATTGGGTCTCCTCAAGTTTAGTTCTTTATCTAATTGTATTCTGTTTTAGCCTGTTTTTGGACCTCTATTCACGGTTGATGATCTGATTTGATGATATTAGTTTTTATTCGATATTTTCTGATCTATCCTTAATGGGTATTCGGATGGCTGTTTGGTTCCTTATTAAGTTTGTTGCTTCTTCTGTTGAACACTCACCCCATGACTCTACTTGTGCATTGATTTACAACTATGTAAATGTTTGCCTCCAGGATTTAGTAGGCCGCGTTTCTCCGGTTCAGATCTATAGAATTTTCATGCAGTGGATTTTTGGCCTTGACATTCATTAGGTTCTAAGATGAATTTTTAGAGTCTGCTCATTACATTTTGCGTATGAAAGGTGAAGTTAGATCTATTGAAGTGTTCTACTTTGATAGCATCCAACCCATTTACTATTTCGAAAAATGAAAGCTTAATCAGTTCAACCACTGAAAAGTAAAAAAAAAAAAAATAATAATAAAGTTTGAGATAGTGTAAGGGCATGGTTTTGTGATTGTGAGCATGATGGGTGTTGAGATGGCCCATTGGCCTAGGTTTGGACGGAATTTATGGATTCATGATGTTTAAAATGGATTGCTTGTGGGCCGAGGTTTTGAATTACTTATTGGACTTAGGGCTAGTTTGTTACAATGGTTTTGGAGTAATGGTTAACAATTTTACCTAAATTGTTAAGTATAGGTGTTTAGTAAACTTATATATTAATCTAGATTTGGACGGAATTTATGGATTCATGATGTTTAAAATGGATTGATTACTTGTGGGCCGAGATTTTGAATTACTTATTGGACTTAGGGCTCATTCGGTATAGTGGTTTTTGGGTAATGGTTAGTGGTTTTACCTAAATCGCTAAGTATAGATATTTGATAAATTTATATATTTCGAAATCACTATAAACAAGATGTTTGGTAAAATTTTTATTTAGTGGTTTGGGACTAACAGATAGCGGTTATGGTTCAAATTGCAAACGGATTGAAAAAGCTAGCTTAGTTAGCTTTTTGTACCAAACCGCTAGCGAATTAGAATTTTTTAGTTTTATTGACAAATTTATTCATTTTAATTTTTTTAATTTTTTATCACATTTTTTAATTAATATTTATCTAATAAGTTTCAATTTTTTTTCCTTTAATAACATTAAGTGATTATAATATTTTTATTTTGTAAATTAATTTATCATTAAAAAATATATTATCTTAAAAAACAAAATTTGCTAATTAGATAAAT